ACTTTGGACTTGGTTCAAATCCTGCCCCTACCACTGTTACGGATGTTTTTCAACCTCAACCTTGGGGCCTGAATTTGGTCACACTGAAAAGGGGAGTTGGCTGGGCATGATGGTATGAGCCACCGCAGTGTCCACTTCTGCCCACTTCTCTCTTCCAGGGGGTGGGGTGATGTGCCAAGTTGGTTTTTAAAATCTCAAGTAACATAGTATGAAATTCTGGCAGGCTTTGGCTCTGAATGCGTGGAGACTCTCACAACAAAAGCCTTCACTTCTTTTTGGATCTCCACACACATGGTTGACACTAAATGAGGATCTCCTATGTGGGCAATAGCCACCCACACTTTGCAGAGCAGCATAATTCTCTTTTGGGTAGACTCCTGAATAGCCTAAAATTTTCCACGGTCAGATAAAGGTGGTGAAACAAAGGTTGGTCTAATCTAGTACCCTAAGGACTGAAAAAAAAAATAGGATTCGAAACCAAATTTCATTTTGTTTCTTTCATTTACAAGTTTTAATTAAATATCTCTAATGGTTAGAAAATCAGTGTCAAATACGAACATTGGTATACAGCTTAAAATACAAATGTCAGTAATTATTAAAGAACATGATTAATAACTGTTCCAAGTAAATGCTTGATAATTATTTCCCAGGAGGCAAGTTAAGCATCAGGTGCCTGAGGAGTAAGAGACAGGGCTTCAGTAGGTTCAGACGGCTGCATGGCTGGTCCAATGAGCTTTCCCCTCGGTGCCAGGGACAGCTCTCATCACAGGCTTGCCCACTGGCCTTTATCCCCAGCTCCAAGGCAACACCAGGGCTTTTTCTGCCACAAGAGTCACATTTCAGAGACAAATGATCAACTTTAAGATGAAAGTTAGATGGCTCAGTTCCAGAATATTCTGGTTTAACCTGGGAAGTTAAGACTTTCCCAAGGCTGAACATAGGCCACTAGGGGCTGATGGATAAGAGTGAAGTCAGAGTCATTCTAAACTCATTTTTATTTTGTTCTATATAATTAATTATACTCTATCTTTAAGTAACTCAAGTTCAAGCTCTTTCTATTTCACTTACATTTAAAAGGTGCCAATTTGATTGTGTCTAAACTGAACTTTACCCAGTGTGCTGAATACTAAAGACCTTTTAGGCCAAAGGTACCTCTAGGAAAAAGATGTTTATATATTAACATACCTCAAAGTTTACATTTTCATTATAATAAATTAGCCTTAATGTTATGAATAATATCTCAGAAAGTTGAATCTAAGTAATCTGGTCTATCACGCTAATTTGACTTTGTTTTTTGTTTTTTTGAGATGGAGTTTTGCTCATGTTGTCCAGGCTGGAGTGCAATGGCACGATCTTGGCTCACTGCAACCTCTACCTCCTGGATTCAAGCGATTCTCCTGCCTCAGCTTCCAAAGTAGCTGGGATTACAGGCATGTGCCGCCATGCCCAGCTAATTTTTGTATTTTTAGTGGAGACAGGGTTTCACCATGTTGATCAGGCTGGTCTTGAACTCCTGACCTCAGGTGATCCACCCACCTTGGCCTCCCAAAGTTCTGGGATTACAGGCGTGAGCCACTGTACCCAGCCAGCTTTTTTTTTTTTTTTTTTAATTCAAACTTTTTGTTTTGAGACATGGTCTCACCCTGTCGCCCAGTCTGGAGTGCAGTAGCACAATCACAGCTCACTCCAGCCTAGACCTCCTGGGCTCAAGAGATCCTCCCATTTCACCCTCCCAAGTAGCTGAGACTACAGGCCATGCACCACACCTGGCTTTTTAAAAAATTTTTTGTAGTGGCAATGTCTATGTTGCCCAGGCTGGTCTCATGCTGTGCTGAAGCGATTCTTCTGTCTTGGACTCCAAAAGTGCTGGGATTACAGATGTAGGCCACGGTGCCTAGCCACAAATTTGAAATTAGAATACTATGTTATCTATCCATTTTGACCAAGCCCCAGAATCAACAGAGCTATATTTATATATATTTTTAAAAATCTCGCCAGGCTTGATGGCTCATGCGTATAATGGTAGCACTTTGGGAAGCTGAGGTCGCCTGGCCAACATGGCAAAACCCTATCTCTACTAAAAATACAAAAACTTAGCTATGCGTGGTGGTGCATGCCTATAATCCCAGCTACTTGGGTGGCAGATGCACGAGAATCACTTCAACCCGGGAGGCAGAAGTTGCAGTGAGCTGAGATTGTGCCACTCTAGTCCAGCCTGGGCGACTGAGTGAGACTGTCTCAAAAAAAGAAAAAAAGGGAGTAAATCTAAATTATGTCAATATTATCAAAGTTTCTTACCTAAAATCATATACAATTTTAAGCACCAAAGCAGACTTTCTTCAAAAGTTACATCTAAGATATTAAATGTTCAATCTCATTTTTCAGTTCATTTTAAGTCTCAATACTGAAGTCTCTATAAAAGGAATAATAAATGCTTAAAAAGACCTGACAAGTACTACTAACCTCCTCTCAAATCCCAATGTCCCTGAAGCAGTAGCCCATGGGCTTCAAGAAGTTCAATGACAGCAGGATAGTGGTCAGGGAGACAGGAGTTTAACCAGGAGGCGCACCCCAGAATGTTCATGGAAAGAGCTGATGATTCACAGTGGATAAAAAACAAATGATAAATAAGCCTTTCTTCTTTCTCAATATTACTAACTAGGAAGCAGGAAAATCTATTAGGCAGAGAAAAACCAGATACGCCTGGAGTCACAGGTAAGGAGTCTGTGTTCTCTCAGCTGTCTCACAAGTTAATAAATCAGATACATTTATGACCCATGCTAGGCTCCAAAGTAGGATTCAGGTACTTTGGAAGCCAGTAAAGGCTTCAAGTGTACTCCAGGGTTTAGCTGGTGTAAAGAATAAAGGACAAAAAAAAAAGTCAGACAACCAGCCTGGGCAACATAGCAAGACCATGTTTCTATAAAAAAATATATATATATTTTAAAATTATCTGGGCATGGTGGTTCATGCCTGTAGACCCAGCTGCTTGGCAGGCTAAGGTGGGAGGGAGCATTGGAGCCTAGGAGTTTGACATTACGTGAGTTATAATCATACCACTGCACTCCAGCCTGGGTGACAAAGCAAGACCTTGTCTCAAAAAACAACGAAAAGTAAATGTCAGATAGACTCCTCAGTTTTAGCAACAAACCCTCATGCTAGCAAAATGGAAGTGATTTACATTTTATTTTTGATTTGAGATCTAGGAGATAGGCTGGGTGTGGTGAGTCATGCCTATAATCTCACCACTTGGAAAGACAAAGGTGAGCAGATCACTTGAGTCTAGGAGTTCAAGACCAGCCTGGGTGATATGGCAAAACCCTGTCTCTACAAAAAGTAAAAAATAAATTAGCGAGGCATGGTGTTGCACGCCTGTAATCCCAGCTACTTTGTGAGGTGGGGTGGGGGGGATGCAGCGCTGAGGCAGGGTTGTTTGAGCCTGTGATGCAGAGGTTGCAGTGAGCCAAGATCATGCCATTGTACTCCAGCCTGGGCAACAGGGCAAGACCCTGTCTCAAAAGAAAAGAAAAGAAAAGAAAAGAAAAAAGATCTAGGTGATAAGAAGGAATATTAATGGTTTCAGAATAAAAGGATCAAGGCTTAAATATTCAAAAAATAAAAGGATCAAGGCTTAAATATTCAAAAAAGAATGTCTTAGATGAAACTACATGACTAAATAGTTGCACTGAAAAATGTACAGAGAAACACCACCAAATTAGAAGTATCCCAATATTTGACTGAATGTCAGCTGGGACACAGACAAAAAAACAGAAAACCTAACCTAGCTATTTGCTTTTCTTTTCAGTAGATGGCATAAACGGGTAAGATGAGAAAAGGGATCAACAAATGTAGCTCAACTTCATTGAAGAATTCTGCCTGATGTAGCACAGGCAAATAAAATTGTTGGTTTTGTGGGATTATAGTTGTTTCCATTTAGGGACACATTTCCTGTTGTTTAAATGCCACAGCAATTCATGAGATGAAATTCATCTCCACAACGGAGCCACTTGACTGAATTTCCAAGTAAATACAAAGAATCTGCAGCCCACAGAAGCCATTACAAGTTAAATTTTTATTTTTGCCCCAACTCCTATACTAAATATGGTCTAATTCCTGAGGAGTGGCAATGGTGGTTTATCCCACAGTATTGGGGCAAGCATCCCATTTGGTAAGTCTCACTCCTTCCTCCTCCCCATCACCTCTCAGTAAAGGATTCAGAGAACCTTGGTTAGAAACTTTTCCTTAAGCCTTTTGTGTTTTCACCTCTCCAGATAGAGGTTGAATCTTCAGTCCACAATCCACTAAATAAACCTGTCCTGTCTAAACGTCTATCACCACAAGTACCATATGCAATCACATTTTCTCCTTTCCTGCAGCCACATGAAGCAGGAACATGTGAAAGATTCTTTCACACAGTATTTTGTTGTCGGGAGGTGCAGGGTAAGTGAGGGGTTCAGCATAGCAGAGGTAGAAGGATTGTGTGGAATTGACAGAAGAATGTTTGAGAGGTATAATCAGAAAGCTTAAATGCTGTGAACCAACCCCCAAAGGCTCAGCCCAGGAGGAAATTTTACCAACACAGGAAAGGTTAGGGTTTAAGGCATAGACAAGTTACCTCCCAGTATGGCTCAAAGTTTCTAGAATGGGACTCAGTAGAGGGGACCAAAAGCTGCACCAGTAGGTTCAGCTGGTCCAGAGGCATAGATCCTATCAGCTGAAACCAAAACAAGTCATTCCAAGCATGCTTACAGTAGGCGTGTTTACAAGTTTAAGGATTCAATTTTAAAATAAATGAAAACAGAACTAGAATGTAGTATTACAAAATTTCTCACACGTATAATCACACACAAAAAGTTAGGATATTGCATAGAAAAATGTACTGTAGTATGCTTTGTAAACCTAGGCCTTAGTAATTTAAATAAAAGACAAACAAATAAAATATCTCTTCATAGTCTAGAAGTCCATGATTGTGAATTCAGGAGAATTATCGAATCTGCAGATTTTGTGGCAAGACCTCAGAAGATCCTGAATTTCTTTATTCTCATAATCATGATTAAATTTACCCTTTGAAGGCTCAGGCTGACACAGTTTAACATCTTCATCAAAAGACTTGGGCTACATGAGCCCAAGCCAATTTCCACAGATTTTATGCTCTGTCCTCTCTGCATATAAGACTTGATCAAAACATACAGGGACATGAAATTGCTTCTATTTCACTGTTTTTTTAAAGGTAGGCTGTTTGTTTTTTTCCTCCTGTTAGTCTATTTAGCAAATTAAATCTGCCTACAATTTTAAATAGTAAAGTTTGGATAGCTAGTTCAAGAGTAAGTGAAAACATTTTAGAAGAGCATTTATGTTAACCTTGACAACAGGATGGGAGATTCTTAACCCCCCTTGTAATATGCACCAATTGATTCTGAGTTAAAATATACCACAGTGACAGTGATATCATCCCTGTACATCCTTGCCAAGTCCTCTGGCAATGTCAGCATTGCCGCCAGCCGCTCTGGCTCCATCTCCCCATACTCATTGCTCCCGATGGCATGTCTGATCAGCCGCGTGGCTGCATTTTGGTCAGCCTCATGGAGCCCACTGGCTTTCCTCTGCAGCAGCAGGCTCTGCATGAGCCTCAAGTTGGCAGGTCTCTGGGCCAGGTCTGTCTTGTGCCGATCTGCCTCAGCCAGGTGCCCCACCACCAGCCTCACCACGTCCTCATTGCTCAGCATGTCCCACAGGCCATCTGACGCCAGCACAAGGAACTTATCCTGGGGCCTCAGCCTGTGGTATGTGACCTCAGGCTCAGCAGTAAGGTAGGGTGGAGTATAGTAGTGTGAGGGCGTGAACTGGTAAATGTTGAGGGCCTCGGTGTTAAAGCCCCTTTCCAGAACGCTGTGCTGCAGCTCTTTACTCCACTTCAGCTGGACATCCCCAAATGCCCTGCAGGGCATGAGGACACCCAGCAGCCTGTCCTCCATGATGATCGTCCTGTCCTCTGATTCAGGGTGCTCCCTCTTTAGCCGGGATAGCTCAGCCTGGTTCCAGGCATTGTGGTCACGGGTAAGGGGCAGACAAGACCACATGCCATTGTCCTCCTGGACACCAAGGATGGCTCGGCAGTCACCAGCATTTGCCACGTGCAAGTGAATTCCATCAACATGAGCCATGCAAGCTGTTGCCCCGGAGAAAGCAACCTGGAGTGACAGGTTCCTTGTCACCTCATCTTCCAGGGGGGCCTGGATTTCCAGTGAGATGTCAGAATCTAATCTCTGGAAGGAGTACATTAATGCTTCCTCAATGCTTAGTCCCATTTCCATGTGCAAGTCGAGCAATTCCTGCCAATAGACACGGAGGTGGTCAAGATGCACGGATGTGACATCCTTGTAGATACTGTCCCCTGGGTGTTTGAGCCAATGCAGGATGGGCAGCAAGGGCTTCATGCTTTCCACAGCTCCCTCCATGTGCTCCAGGGTCTGGTGGGACATCAGGGACACTGCCACATAGTAGAAGAGCCTCTCGCTCACTGCCTGGGCACATGCATGACCGCCATGTCCATCAAAGATGCCAAACATCAGTCCACTGGTTTGCAGGCAGGAGGCTACACCTCGCCGGTCCTCCACTGGGGAATTTGCAGCCAGCTGGTTGCTCTCAAACTGCAACACTGAATTTGGAACTCTGCTTTCAAGGTCAAGAATCCTGTGGGCTGACTCACCAGCTCGAAGCACTTCATTTATTTGCTCAGGGCTGAGTTGCAAGTGAAAATCATCTTCCTCTGTTGATGTGTGTCTGTAGACTTTGCAGAGAGTGAAGCCACCACATGGGGAACTGTTTAGGGTGGGTGGCACCCGGGAAAAGAGCCTCCATTTAAATTTATTCCTATGTGAGACGCACCTGGAGTATAAGCGTCTGCCCCTTTGCAATGTGGCAATGCTGCTCCTTGTAGAATTTAAGATCCAGTAGGACACAGTACTTGACATTCTGACACTATACCAGCAATTGTGTTCCCTCAGCAAAAAAGGATATTTTTAAACCTAAAAATTAAAAAGTTGAAGTTTCAAATTTAATTTCTTAAAAATACTGACCTCTGAAAACATTTAATTTGCTCATATCCTGAACAAAAATAACTTAGAATAAACTATTTAAAATACACTAAACTCATTCTCACCAGCAGACTATAAGTGTTCATTGAAAATATCTGCTTCAGGAGCCAGGCGTGGTAGCACATGCCTGTAATCCTAGCACTTTGGGAGGCCAAGATGGGTGGATAGCTTGAGCCCAGGAGTTCAAGACTAGCCTGGGCAACATGGTGAAACCCTGTCTTTCCAAAAAAAATTTGCCAGGTATGGTGGTATGCACCTGCAGTCACAGCCACTTGGGAGGCTGAGGTGGGAGAATCACCTGAGCTTAGGAAGTTGAGGCTGCAGAAAGCAGTAATCGTGCCACTGCAGTCTAGCCTGGATGATGAGAGTGAGACCCTGTCTCAAAAAAAAAAATTAAAACAAAAATAAATAAATAAATAATCTGCTTCAGGAATAGTGGCTTATACCTGTAATCTCAGCCACTCCAAAGGCTGAGGTGGGAGGAACACTTGAGCCTAGGAGTTCTGAGATGGGCCTGGGCAACATAAGAAGACCTGGTCTCTACAAAAAGATATTTTTACAAATTAGCTGGGCATGGTGGCACACACCTATAGTCTCATTTACTCAGAAGGCTGAGGTGAGAGGATTGCTTGAGCCCTGGAGGTCAAGGCTCAAGGCTGCAGTGAGCAGTGTTCCCGCCACTGCACTCCAGCCTGGGTGACAGAGCAAGACCCTGTCCCAAAAAATTAATCATATATATATATATATATATATATATGCTTCCCCACTAGTCTATAAACTCTGTGACTCAAGCAACCACAGCTGCCTTACTCACCAACAGCTTTCCAGTGCCTAGCCCTGTATCTGGCAAACACTAAGTCCTCAAATACCAGCTAAATATGACATTTTCAGAGGCCCAACAGCACACTAGCTGTGATGCTATCCTGTGTAGCATCAGACACACTGCTGATGAGGTAACACTCCAGTTATCTATTGGCAGAATGGGAATATTAGTGTTAGGTTTTGTGAGAATTTAATAAAATATGACCCTTCTGCTAAAAAAAAGGGAATTATTATTTTCATCATTAGGTACATACCCCTCTAGTCATTCTGTCCTCCCCCTTTTTGGGCTGGAGTGCAGTGACGTGATCTCGGCTCACTGCAACCTCCGCCTCCCAGATGCAAGTGATTCTCCTGCCTCAACCTCCCAAGTAGCTGGGACCACAGGTGTGCACCACCATGCCTGGCTAGTTTTTATACATTTTGTAGAGATCGGGTTTTGCCCTGTTACCCAGGCTGGTCTTGAACTCCTAGACTCAAGCAATCCATCCACCTCAGCCTCCCAAAGTGCTGGGATTACAGGTGGGACTTACCATGCCCGGTCATTCTGTACATATTTCTGTAGAGTTGTAACCACAACTTTGAATCTGGCTTTTCTGATAAGAGTATTTTTTCATATCTAATGGCTACATTTTGGCATAAACAATCACAATTTACTTAACCATTCTCTACTGCTGAAGATTTAGAGGTTGTTTCTACTACTTGCTTGCTATTTATTTATTTTATTTTTATTTTTATTTGAGATGGAGTCTCGCTCTTGTTGCCCAGGCTGGGGTGCACTGGCACAATCTCAGCTCACTGCAAACTCCGCCTCCCAGGTCCAAGCGATTCTCCTGCCTCAGCCTCCTCAGTAGCTGGGATTACAGGCACGCGCCACCATGCCCAGCTAATTTTTTGTATTTTTAGTAGAGACAGGGTTTCACCATGTTAGCCAGGATGGTCTTGATCTCCTGACCTGGTGATCCACCTGCCTCAGCCTCCCAAAGTGCTGGGATTACAGGCATGAGCCACTGTACCTGGCCTACTTGCTATTTATTAATATAAAATATCAAACTGGACTGGGCACAGTGTGGCTCATGCCTATAATCTCAGCATTTTGAGAGGCCAAGGCTAGAGTATCCCTTGAGGCTAGGGAGTTTGAGACCACCCTGAGTGATACAGCAAGTGCCCCCGTCTCTACCAAAATTTTTACATTAGCTGGGAATGGTAGCACATGCCTGTAGTCCCAGGTACTCAAGAGGCTGAAGTGGGAGGATTGCTTGAGCTCTCTGAGTTCAAGGCTGCAGTGAGCTATGATCACACCACCGCACTGCAGCTTGGGCAATTGAGCCAGATCTGTCTCTTAAAAAAAACAACAACAACGAAACCCCACCAAACTGCACTGCCTTATGCAGTAAACTTTTCTCTACTTAGGTTTTATCCTAGTGATTTCCCAAACAAGGAGTCAGTAGGTCAAAGTGTGGAGACTCATTGCCAAACTGATTTCCAAAAGCTTCACATCTGCCTCCGCAAGGGGGTGATGAGTTTCCTAGTCCCTTCACTAGCCTCTGGTGGTATTTTTCCTTAGAATAAAATAAAATAAGAAAAAAAAAAAAATCTTGACCCATTATAATGAGCTTTTCTCAGGTTTCATGTATGAATCCTGCCCTCGGCATCTCGAGATCATTTTTCAGGATCTTGAGAGCTCCCAGCACTGAGAACCGTTCCCTCACCCCCCGCCCCCCGCATAAATCGGGACGGGGGCGGTCGGTCCGGGAGCAGAGGGCGCCTGACGCTCCAGCCCTACAGCCAAGACAGGCAGCGGTGCAGGGTGATCCGCCCCAGCTGGGACGCAAACCATTTTGCATCCTTAAAGAAAACAGACAGGTCCCAAGTTAAAGTCTCTGACTAGAGCCTCATCGCTAAGTGCACGGAGCCCACCAAGCCCTATCTCCCTAGAACTCCGGCACGGCCGTACCCCAGCTAGGTGTCCCCGAGCAACCAGCTTGGTGCCTCTTAGCTCCGGCTTGCCAGTCTGTAAAACAGGGGCGCGCAGTGGGGACACGGAGCTCTAAGGGTGCTCGAAGGGCCAGAGCAGCTAGTGGGGTGCCCCAATAGGTAGCAAAGGGTCGTCGGCGAGCCCGCAGGCCCACGTGGGGCGCGCATGTGAGTGGGGTGACCGTGGTCGTGGGCCCGGCTGGTCCCTTCGGCCGCGGGTCCGCCCCCTCACCTCAGCTCTCCGCCCAGTCACCTGAGCCGGTGCCGCAGGCCGGGAGGGTCAGGCGCTGGCGAGGCCTGGCGCGTAAAGAGGTGTCCACATCCCCCACTCGTTCCCTTCCCTACCTCGGACCCTCGCCCGCTTCTCAACAGCTTGCGAGGCCACAGTCGCCCGCTCGATCCGGTCAGTTCTGCGCCTGCGCACAGCTCCGCAGCTGCAGCCACCGAGTCCGCACTTCACCCAGGCTGCAGCTCCTGGTAAGGACCCAGCTCCAGAAGGAAGCGCCCTCCCGCCAGCCCTGGTTGGCTCAATTGCGGAGGCGGGCCCCTGATGGACAGAGACATTGCCCAATGACCAAAGAGGACGAGAGGCTGGCAGAAAGGCGCGACCCGGGAGGGGCCAACACCGCCCCTTACTCGGGCCCGGGTGCTGAAGGTATTAGACCGCGGGGCTACCGGGCCAGGCAATCACGTGACTGAGGTCGCCAACTACGCGGCTGCCACACTCTGCACACCCCGAACCCAGCGGCCTCTCCAATTCTTCACCGTTGTTAGAACACCCTGCTGCTTCCTCTTCATTTTGGTATCAACTGCTTCAGAAGCCTCTCCTAAGAGCCCCACCCTGGTTTCCACCCATCCATCCAATGACACAGCCACCCTAGACCAAGCATCTCACCTGGTTTTCCGGTTTTCCCTCCTCCACCTTTGACTTGGTCCTAACCACAGAGCAGAGCAGCCAGAATGACGCCCCTCCCCCTTTTTTGGTGGTGGTGGGGGTAGAGACAAGGTCTTTCTATGTTGCCCAGGCTGGTCTCAAACTGCTGGGCTCAAGCAATCCTCCCACCTCAGCCTCCCCAAAGTACTGGGATTACAGACGTGAGTCATCAAGCCAGGCAGAATGATCCTTTTAAATCTCAAATTCCAAGGTCGGGCGTGGTGGCTCCAGCCTGTAATCCCATCACTTTGGGAGGCCGACGCGGGCGGATCACCTGAGGTCAGGAATTCGAGACCAGCCTAGTCAATATGGCGAAACCCTGTAACTACTAAAAATACAAAAATTAGCTGGGAGTGGTGGCGTGGGCCTGTAGTCCCAACTACTCGGGAGGCTGAGGCAAGAGAATCATTTGAACCCAGGAGGCAGAGGTTTCAGTGAGCCGAGATTGCACCACTGCACTCCAGCCTGGGCAACAGAGCGAGAGTCCATCTCAAAAACAAGAACAAATCCAAAAACCCCTCAAAGTCCTGCCCTAAAGTCTTCAGTGGTTTCCCATAAACCATTAAGCTTTGAACTGACCATTATATTGTCCTGCTACTGACAATTAATGCAGCATGGTTGGCAGCTGGTAGGTTGAGAGAAGCACAGAACTGGGACACCAGATAATATCCCTCAGTCCCTTCTGGTCCTAACACTGGGGCATTTCAGTAATCATCTGCTTCCTTATAAATTATTTTAACAGAACTCTTGTAACTACAGTAAGTCAAATGGAGTCATTCCCTGGAGACAGAAAAATGGGAGACAACCAGAAAAAAGCCACTTGGCACCCTGAGAATGTGGTCTTCCAGAAGGAAGACACAATGGCTTACCTGGGGAGCCTGGCCAGCCTCCTGGACCCAAGGACGTGATCACAATAAAACTGCTCCTGTCAGACTTGCCCTCATATATTTATAGTTCCACTAACCCTTAGCCCTTTCCGGAAGTTCAAAGTCAGGATTTGCGATATCTGTCTTCCTGCATATTAAGAAGACTGTTTCAGACCCAAACTAAAAATAGGTCTAGAGATTCTAATAAATGGGCGCAAGAGCCAGGCGCAGTGGCTCACACCTGTAATACTAGCACTTTGGGAGGCCGAGGCAGGTGGATCATGAAGTCAGGAGTTCGAGACTAGGCTGATCAACATGGTGAAACCCCATCTCTACTAAAAATACAAAAATTAGCTGGGCGTGATGGTGTGTGCCTGTAATCCCAGCTACTCAGGAGGCTGAGGCAGGAGAATTGCTTGAACCCGGGAGGCGGAGGTTGCAATGAGCGGAGATCATGCCACTGCACTCCAGCCTGGATGACAGAGCAAGACTGTCTCAAAAAAATAAATAAATAAATAAAAATGGGTGCAATAGAATGCAAAAGCACACTTCCTCTCCACCCCTAAATATAGGTCATGTAGGGTCATAATGGGTTACCCTTCGGGACACAGGCAGCAGTGTTCAGTTATTCAATCTGCAGGCATTTATGGGTGCCCACAATGTGTCAGGCCCTGGGCTGACTGCTGAGGAACACAGATGGCTGTCCCCACCACTCTCCTGAGAAAAATTAGATCATTCCACCAAGTCTGAAACCACTGAGTTTTTCTAAGTTATCACACACACCCACTTCCAAAGTAAAAATGCACTCTGGAGGATCATGTGTGCACTGGAACTTTCATTTCAAGGCCATAACCAGTTCAGTCACCCTATATAGGATGGCCAGCCCAAGTCCCTCACCGGATCTCTCAAAGCTTCCTTGTCCCAAGGTCTTATAAGCAAATATGAAGGAAAAGGATTACTTATCTTTCCTTCCAGAAAGGGAAAGCATAGTTCGATTGGCTTTTTCCTTTTCCTTTTTTTTTCTTGAGATGGAGTCTCACTCTGTCACCCCGGCTGGAGTGCAATGCTGTGATCTCAGTTCACTGCAACCTCTGCCTCCCAGGTGCAAGCAAGTCTTCCACCTCAGCCTCCCAAGTAGCTGGGACTACAGGTATGTACCACCCACACCCCGCTAATTTTTGTATTTTTAGTAGAGATGGGGTTTCACTATGTTGTCCAGGCTGGTCTTGAACTCCTGACTTTGTGATCTGCCCGCCTTGGCCTCCCAAAGTGCTGGGATTACAGGTGTGAGCCACCGCACTCAGTGGTTTGATTGGCATTTTTAGATAAAATATGCAAAAATATTCAGCCTCACTCAAGACCAAAGAAATGGCCAGGCACCTGCCTCAAAATAATAAAGAAAAAAGAAAACCAAAGAAATGCTAATTAAATGAATCAGTGATTGTTGTCAGTCAACCTGGTAAATATTAAAACATGTTTTAAATACATAATGTTAGTCTGGGCATGGCGGCTCACGCCTGTAATCCAAGCACTTTGGCGGCCAAGGCGGGTGGACCACCTGAGGTCGGCAGTTCAAGACCAGCCTGACCAACATGGTGAAACCCCATCTTTAAAAAAAAAATTTTTTTTTCAAAGAAAATAAATACATAGTGTTGGCAAGAGAGCATTGCCATCTTAGCAGGGAGTGTGATATGGTTTGACTCTTTGTGCTCACCCAAATCTCATCTCAAATTGTAATTCCCACATGTCAAGGGAGGGATCTGGTGGGAGGTGACTGGATCATGGGGGCGGTTTCCCCCATGCTGTTCTCATGATAGTGAGTGAATTCTCATGAGATCTGATTGTTTATAAGGGACAGTTTTCCTCTGTGCTCTTGCTTGCCTGCTGCCAGGTAATAAGTGTTTTACTTCCCTTTGTCTTCTGCCATGATTGTAAGTTTCCTGAGGCCTCCCCAGCCATGTGGAACTCTGAGTCAATTAAACCTCTTCCCTTTACAAATTATGCAGTCTCAGGAATTCTTTAGAGCAGTGTAAAAACAGATTAATAGAGTGCACATGGAAGCTACCCAATGGGGATACCTTTGATCCACTAATTCTACCTCTTTCAATTTATCCTAAAGAGACAAAGGTCAGCATTACAAAGTTTCTACAGTAAGTATACATTATTCAATCTAGCATAACTTGCATCATGAGGGGGGAAAGAAGCAAAACTATTTTTAAAACAGCCAGGTGCATGAGAATCGCTTGAACCCAGGAGGCAGAGGTTGCAGTGAGCCGAGATCACACCACTGCACTCCAGCCTGGATGACAGAGAAAGACTCTGTCTCAAAAACAAAACCACAAGAACAAGTATGAGGAAGAGATCAATAAGCGTACAGAGATGGAGAATGAATTTGTCCTCATCAAGAAGGATGTGGATGAAGCTTACATGAACAAGGTAGAGCTGGAGTCTCGCCTGGAAGGACTGACTGACGAGATCAACTTCCTCAGGCAGCTGTATGAAGAGGAGATCCGGGAGCTGCAGTCCCAGATCTCCGACACCTCTGTGGTGCTGTCCATGGACAACAGCCGCTCCTTGGACATGGACAGCATCATCGCTGAGGTCAAGGCGCAGTACGAGGAGATCGCCAACTGCAGCCGGGCTGAGGCGGAGAGCGTATACCAGATCAAGTATGAGGAGCTGCAGAAGCTGGCTGGGAAGCACTGGGATGACCTGCGGCGTACGAAGACTGAGATCTCCGAGATGAACCGGAACATCAGCCGGCTCCAGGCCGAGATTGAGGGCCTCACAGGCCAGAGGGCTTCCCTGGAGGCCGCCATTATAGATGCTGAGCATCGCGGGGAGCAGGCACTCAAGGATGCTCGTGCCAAGCAGCAGCAGCTGGAGGAAGCCCTGCAGAAGGCCAAGCAGGACATGGCACGGCAGCTGCGTGACTACCAGGAGCTGATGAACTTCAAACTGGCCCTGGACATCGAGATCGCCGCCTACCGCAAGCTACTGGAGGGCGAGGAGAGCCGGCTGGAGTCTGGGATGCAGAACATGAGTATCCACACGAAGACCACCAGCGGCTATGCAGGTGGTCTGAGCTCTGCCTATGGGGGCCTCACAAGCCCCGGGCTCAGCTACGGCCTGGGCTCCAGCTTTGGCTCCGGCGCGGGCTCCACCTTCAGCCGCACCAGCTCCGCCAAGGCCGTGGTTGTGAAGAAGATTGAGACCCGCGATGGGAGGCTGGTGTCTGAGTCCTCTGACGTCCTGCCCAAGTGA